TTTGGTGGGCTGTGCAGAATCTATGTTGGGCTCTGCCAGCACATTCCTCTTACCTTGCACGGCCTGACCTCTTTGGAACACGGCCTCCTCATCCTCGGTGCTCGACACGGTCTCCTTGTCATCTTCGCCGCCCGACTGGAGCTTCGGCGACGCCTCCCGCCTCCTCTGTCAGTGTCTCTGCCCCCCGCCTCTTCCATCTCGGGGGCCACTCGAAAAATAATTTCTCTCATGGGGGCCGTCTGCCACATTTCATACTTTAAAATAAAATGTAACTATATCCAGTTTTAAAGGAGAACTATGAGGGGGGTGCTTTTCACTCACCTCATAGTTCTAGCCGACCTGTGACAATGAGACTGTCACAGGTCGGCCCAGTAGATCGGGAGGTGAGCGAACACATAGCGGCGTTCGCTCACTTCTCGATCCTGTCACGGCTCTCTGCTGTGATAGGGAAGGGGCAGGATTCCCCCCTCCCCGCTCCGATCCTCCAGCGCTGACTGGCGGAACGGACGGGGCGGGGCCAGCTGGCTCTGCCTCTAGATGCCAGCTGTCAGTCACGCAGCTGGGCGGATCCAGACATAATTGTCGGGATCCGCTTCAGCATCTCAGTATACCGCGAGCTACTGAGCTTAGGGTGACGGGAGGATGCTAGTTTGTGTCCTCCCGTTACCCTTAGGAGGACTATGGGGAAAAGCCCTAACCGCATAGTTCTCCTTTAAGTAGTACAGACACCAATATACTCACAATAAGGCCCCTTTCATATCTGTAGGTTTAGGTGCGATTAGGGATTCCTGCATCAGAAACGTGCGTTTTACTGCATCAGAAATCCCTAATCTGGTGTTTACACGCGGTAGCTATCCCCTATTCAAGTTAATGATCAGGTGACAGCCGCTCCATGTAAACTCCTACACACCGCATGTAATGGAATGTGATATGATTACATGTGGTTAGAAAACACTCTCCCTGAATGCACAATCGATGCGTCCAGGGAGAGTGATTGATTCCTAACTGAATGTAAACATATCACGTATCTTTACATGCGGAGACGGTAGCTATCCCCTATTCAAGTTAATGATCAGGTGACAGCCGCTCCATGTAAACTCCTACACACCGCATGTAATGGAATGTGATATGATTACATGTGGTTAGAAAACACTCTCCCTGAATGCACAATCGATGCGTCCAGGGAGAGTGATTGATTCCTAACTGAATGTAAACATATCACGTATCTTTACATGCGGTGTGCAGGCGTTTACATGCAACTTCTGTCACCTGATTGTTAACTTAGGTGACAGCTGCCATTTGTAAACGCCAATTTAGGGATTTCTGTTGCAGGAAAACGCAAGTTCCTGACGCAGAAATCCCTAATTGCACCCAAAAAAAAGGTGTCAATGCAGTCTATTACACTTCTACTCCCCCCCCACACCTAAAAAAAATACAACCCCTGTACATATATATACACACGCACGCACGCACACACACAACCCCAGTCCGTGCACCCCCAGCCCAGACTTTACCAATCAATTCTTCACAATCCTTTCAGCCAGCGTTCACTGAAAGAGCGCTGGCCGCAAGGATCCGAGTGTCGGCGCAGATTCAGCTACACGGTCTGCATCCGACAGAGATGTAGACCATGTCCGCAGCTGCGATCTCTCCTGTCAGCTCTCTCTCCTCCCGACCGTTCTGTAGCTGCAGCAGCCGGGAGGAGAGAGCTGACAGGATGGGTCGCAGCGGTGGGGACCTCAGCACTGCCTGCCACGATCCCCTCCACAGCTCATCTGACGGCACCATCTCCCCTCCCCCGCACCCTTCAGTGGCCAGCAGCTTAGACGTATACACCAAACACATGCTTAAACTTACCTTTTTCTGGCAGTCTTCAGGCAGTTTTTTCTTCCTTAGCAGGAGGGGGGGGCGGCGACATTGATTTGCATATGAATTAGCCGCGGCTTATTGATATGCAAATCACAGCGGCCCATTAATATGTAAATATCGCGGCCGGGACAGGGGACAGGAAAAGCGCAAGCAGCTCCGGAGAGGAGAGCACAGAGTATAAACTAGAGAGAGCTGGGTGAGGAGGTGTTTTCTGGCCTCCCCCACCAGCTCCCTCTAGTGTCTACTGTGTAGTAGTGCCGGCTCTGCTAAGAAGTACACACAGCTTCGACACACGCCTGTCCCATCTGCTGTGACACCTCACGGTGAACAGTGCACCCTCTTTGCAGCCAATCACCTTCTAGATAAACAAAGCTCCTCTCCAATCACCAACCACTTTGTTGGCCTGTCCTCTCCCACCCCGTCCACTCATTGGCCGTGATGATGGCTCAACAAATGCTATGTAATCCTTGAATTCCTCTCCCATTGGAAGCCGCTGAGAAGCTACTGCTTGCGCGGCTGCTAATACGGGACTTGCTTAACTCTTTCTGCTGCCAGCGGGAGTAAACTTACAGAAGTTACGGTGCCACCTGCTCTGCCTACTGCAATAACTTAAAAAAGTTAAGGGCTTGTACAAGCGTCTAGACTCTAGGCCAATCCGATGCGGCGGGGAGGTTCCAATTGCATCGTGATTGGTCGGAGGTAGGCTGTCGTTCGCGGGAGATATGTGAGGTAATTAGCAGCGCTGTGAGGGAGGAAAGATGTCCACCGATGGCAAGAATCTGGTCCGCTCACCCAGCGGGCTCCGCATGCTTCCCCTGCAAACACAGCGTGCAGCAGCCCCTTCTGCCTAGAGGAGCCACAGTGGGGTAATGACACGCTGCCCGGCTCCATGCTAGCAGAAGTACTGGTATCAGTATTCAGTATCAGCGAATACCAAAGATAAATATTGGTACTCGTACTCGATACCGAAAGAAACAGTATCGGTGCATCCCTACCAAAAACACAAATAACAGTGTAGAACTTAAAACAAATACAAAGTGTAAAAACACTCCTCTGGTAATACTGTGACATTTGCTTTGAATAACACACAGTCTCATTAAGTGCCCTTTAATATCAGTGTCCATGTATCCAATCCACCGAAGTAAAATTCTGATTGTATACACCACCACTCAGTGAAAATGACACCGTTAGGCGCAAAAGCCGATGAAACACCATAAAGAGATCTTGCTCACCTTTCCATATGGCCCTCACTAAAATATGTTAGTGTGATCTCACCAGCATTCCTTTCTTACTAGGGATAGAAATGATTTTTCTCCATAGAAGATGTTTGACCCCCTGGCATTCACCTGGATCCAGCTCAGCTCACATACAGATAAAGAAGACGGTACGTAACATCATTCTGTATAACAATGAATATTTATTACAAATAAAAACCAACTCACAAGACATCCAACAAACAAGAGTATATATCTCGATTCAGAATCCCTCAGCCCAGCAATGGTCAAAAGTTTATGCACCAGCAATAACCCCAAAGCCCCGACTGATCTCTCTACACAGCACCTGACTGCCCTGCACTGCTTCTGGGTGTGACCTTGTAAAGCTCCACCCTACACATTACATCTAATTGACTCCATCAGGAGTGACCTCCACTCCTGATGAAGTCAAATAGACGTAACGCGTACAGTGGAGCCTTTACAACGCTGGGCTGAGGGATTTTGGATTGAGATATATACTCCTGTTTGCTGGATGTCTTGTGTATGTTCCATATGAATAGGTTTTTATTTTATTTTTGTATTTATTTTCAATAAACATTTATTGTTATACTGAACTATGTTTTGTACCTTCTTTATCTGTATGTGAGCTGATCCGGATCCAGGTGAATGCCAGGAGATTAAATATCTTCTACAGAGAAAAAAACAAACAATTTCTATCCCTATTAGGAGAGGAATGCTGGTGAGACCACACTAAAGTATTTTAGTCGTATGTAAAAGGTGAGCAAGATCACTTTATGGTGTTTCATCGGCCTTCTACTCCAGTGGTGTCATTTTCACTGAGTGGTGGTGTATATAATCAGAAGTTTACTTTCGGGGGATTGGATACACCGACACTGATATTAAAGAGCACTTAATGAGACTCTATTAAGGGGAGTGTTTTTACACTTTGTAATTGTTTTATGCACTACACTGTGATTTGTGTTTTTATTATGTTATTAGATTGTTGTTCACTTGTCAGTGTTGGCAGCTATTAATTGGTGTAGAAAATGTATTTATTTTTTAAGATTTATTGGTGCAGGATTTTTCCTAATTAGGGTGTCTTCTGTAAACTATTCATCTCCCGTCCTCCATGTAATAGAGGAAGACATGTTTGTAGTCCTGCCCTGGGGTGACAACCGTGGCTTGCACCATAGATACAATGGACAGTCTACTCCCCCGAAGACACAAGACCACCAAGTGTAAATTAAGAAAAAAATATATATCTATATATATATATAAAAAGAAAACTAATGTAGCCCTCATATCTAAGGACTGGTAAGTTCCTATCTATCTGTTTAGGCATTCAGGCAGCCACAGGTTCTGCGGTTGCCGGAATACAATAGCTGGCGTTGGAGATTCCTCCATCCATGCTGTTTAGCTGATTACACGATGAATGGCAGCTCCCATATTCTGATAGGACTCTTTTGATATTTATATTATATAATAGTATGTTTACGGTGGTGTAATTTACCTTGGCTACAGAGTACTCCGGCACACCAAAACACAGCGAGGAATGTGGGGTATGCATCAATACAGTTTTGGCTGGAGGAAAGCAGACACATCAGTAATGATTAGTAATGATGATATCAGTGAAATAATTGGGGTTTGACGGTTATTATTACATGGAAGACAGAATCATAACCCATATGGTAAAAGCATAAGAGCATCTACAGAGGTTAATAGCATTTCTGCCTTGCAGAAGTAGGGGGTCCCCGGTTTGCACCCCGGTCAGGATTTGAACTAGAGATGATGCAAGAAGTTTGCATGTTCTCCCTGTGTTTGTGTTGGTCTCCTCTCAGTACTCCGGTTTCCTCCCACAATCCAAAGACGTGCTGGAAGGTTAATTGGCTCCTGTCTAAAATTGGCCCTGTATGTATGCATGTGAGATAGGGACCTTAGATTGCAAGCTCCTTGAGGGCAGGGACTGATGTGAATGTGCATGTAAAGCGCTGCGTACATTGTTGGCGCTATATAAATACCTGTAATAAATAAAAATACAGATCAAAAGTCGATTCTATTTCTAGAGATGGCACGGTATTAATAAAGTCATGTGCCTATATAACTATACAGTTATACAGTGAGCACATATTGTCAGTTTTATTATATTACATTGTAAAGTAAAAGTCCGGCATGAAAGCAGGCATGGCAAAATGCCAAGCTGTTAAAGTAGTATGAAACTCTCAGACTAATGATTCCAGATCAAACAATTATACACTGCCCGGCAATGTAAAAAAAAAGGTAATTGCCCAAATATTTACAGTCTTCATGTTTCCAGATAGCTGGCTCTAACTCTCTCAGTTCCACTTCCCTTAACTTCTTGTTTAGTACAAGATCAAAGCACAGTCTCCAGCATATGTCCATCTACTTGCTTGGAGAATGGAGTAGGAGCAGAGAGAAGGGTAGTGGCTTGCCTTGCTGTGCCTATGTGCTTACTAACACACACAAGGTGGCTCCATAGGACCCTTCAAGGGAAAGGAGCCCCCCTAAAACTGGAAATCAGGACCAGTGCTCAAGGGACCTGCTGACTCTGCAGGAAACTAACATGTTTAAACATCAAGAAGCACCATCCATTGCCAGTGATTTCATCAGCATTTGGAATAGCTTAAAAACCTTTTAACTTGAATATCCTCTTTATGGCCATGCATTACTAACTGGCATCTCTCTGTCCAACAAGAGTGTCCATACCGGCCACTGAGTCTGTCTCCTTCAAGAGGGAAGTGGCCATTGGCTGGGCTTAGAAAAAAAAGTCAGGGAAAGTCAACCACAAGTAACAAAGTCCAATGAATCCAGAGAGAAGTATTAAAAGATTAAAATAGAGTTCAGTTGTTTTTGGCTTTTACATGTCTCCATGCTTGTTGTAGTCTACTGTCAGTGGATTATTAATGGAGAGTTGTAGAATCTAATGACACAGATTTGAGCCCTGTAATGGCATGGAGGTTGGCAGGAGGAACCACCGTAGGCAGCAGGGGACCAGGAGAGAGATTTTCTGTTGTTGTTTGTATTTCTATTGGGTAAATTCACTCTCTATAATTGTCCTGATCTCCAATGTTAAGGGGAATGAATAGGGGAATCTAACACTTTTAGTTTCTACCTGAACAGGAATAGAGGGGAAATCTTCTAATGGGAACAATTGTTCTGATGATAACTGTCTATGAGCATATTTCCCTCACATTGAAAATATATCCTCTGACTTCCTGTTGAGTGTACAAGGAAAAAAAGGGAAATCTCCCTCATTAACTGCCTCCTGGCCGGCCTTTGTAAAAATAGGGCCGGTCGGGAGCGTCCTAGATCGGAGCGGGCGTATCTAAACGTCCCGACAGCGACGCCCCCGGCGCGTGCGAGCAGGTAACTGCCTAAATTTAAAAACAGGCAGCGATTCTTACATGTTTATATACAAGCGATCCGCCGGCGGATCGCTTGTATAAGGTGCCTGTGTGTGCGTCCCCTTGTCCGCAGCCATGCAACAGCTTCTTTAGGGGGTCCTAAGTGATATCTCCATAAAGACGACCTGTCACATCTATTTGCTATCACATAGAGGGGTTTCTTAGCCCTCTATGTGATAGCAATAAAGTTAAGTGGAAAAAAAATAGGAGAAAAAAATTCAAGTTGCAAAAAAAATTCAAGTCACACATGAAAAAGAATATAAAAAAAACACAAATGTTTTTTTAATTCAGGTAAATACCACATTATGGCTACTAGGGGGACCTGAGGAGTGTAGGAAATAAATGCTTCCTTCCTACGCTCCTCAGCTCCATCTAGTGGCCATAATGCAGTATTTTCCTGAGATTACATTCAACCTTGAAAGAAAATATGCTAATAACATACATTTTTTACTCCATTCTCACAGAACGAATGTACATGCAACTTCGCAGGACAAATGGCTCTGCAAATTGTTTATAAATACACCCATATGTGTATTTAATGGTGAACTGTCAGAAAGGGGCTCAGCAAAGAACTTGGAACAGTTCCACAGACCAACATTCTGCCCTATGCTGGCCATACACTTGCAGTGCTATAGTTAATTTTGGAAGGTTTCTATCACCCTAAGTAGATTACATTTTTCAGTTTAAGTATAAAGTGATTAAAACCAACCAGAGGCATCTTCATTCAATTTCCACACCACTTAAAAAAATCTCATGAAATCCTTCCAAAAGTGACAGTAAAATTGCTCAGTGTATAACTAGTGTACATGTACCTAGCCCAGCCTTTCTCAACAAGGGGGCAATGGCACCTGGGGTTCCTTCTGGCTTCCTCCGGGGTGCCTCTAAGTTTCACAAATCGATACGGCTTTCCATGGTGCGGTTGGGCCAGCCGCCAACACCCCCATGGAAAGCAAGATGATAATCCATTCAGAAAAGGATGGAAGTTCACCTCCATCCAGGACTCTGATGTGAAAAAGGGGGGCTGTTGATGTGAAGAGGGGCTCCTGATGTGAAAGGGGGGCTCCTGATCTGAAAGGCAAGATTCTGATGTGAAAGGGGAAACCCCATTTTTTTTGTTTGTGTGTGGGGTCCCCCCTTAAAATCCATACCAGACCCCTATCTTGGATAAGGGGGACCACAGTTTTTTTTTTACATTTTTACACTTGGGCTGGGGTGCCTCGAGATTTTGCATATTTTGAAAGGGGGCCATGACTAAAATAAGGTTGAGAAACAATGACCTAGCCTGCCCACAGATCTGGTCCTTGGTGGGACAGTTCTTTATTTGACTCCCTGACAAAGTAGTTGCACATGATTGCCTAGTCCCATGACACAGGTTTATAGCGTTTCACAAACTTACTTTGCTGTGTAGACTTTTTCAAAGGCGGGGGAGCCAGTTCTTTGGAAACTCCTGGAATGTTGATTCTTCGTTTCGTTCTCAACTTTGAATGCAAAGAATACTGGGGGAAAAAAACACACAGGCATAAAGAATACAGATACAAAATGCATATAAATGTATAGCAAACCACTTTGACAAAACTGTTCAAAATAGCAAAATTGCAGCCAAAGAGCAAGTGCTTTCGGGGCCTCGGAGGGTCCCCTTCATCAGGCTCAGAGCCCCCAGAAAAGCGCTTGCATTTGAATGGCAATGTACCAATAAATGGACTATTGCTTGATTATACTTTGGAGTGCTGGTGACGTTATTTTCTTTCCGATATCACGAGAAGTCGCTGGCCAATGATTTTCAATGGAGCTGTCTTAATGTGCAGCTCCATGTCGCCCGTCGCGGTAGCAAGTCGCTCCTGCAGGACCCTTTTTTCGGCGAATTTCGCGCTATTTTTCTATCTTTTTAATGCAGCCCAACGGTGAAGGTCGCGCTACCGTCGCTGGAACGTCGCCCCGAAAGTCACGCTATGCCGGCCGCACGGATTCGCTTCAAAAGGTATGTCGCTTAGTGTGAATGGGGCCCAAGGCAGGTGTAGGCAACCTTTGCCCTCCAACTGTTGCGGAACTACATGTCCCATGAGGCATTGCAAGACTGACAGTCACAGGCATACTGTAACTCCCTGAGGCGGAAGGATTTCAGCACAGCTGGAGTGCCAAGGTTGCCTACCCCTGCCATAAGTGGTGTATTGATAAAAACAATTGCAGAGCCATTTGTCATATGAAGCTGCATGTACATTCATTCTGTGCAAATGGGACAAAAACAAATGTTATTGGCATATCTGTGGCATATTTTTTCCCATGTTGACTGTAATCAATTCATAAATGTATGTGAATCAGGAAAATACCACACTGTGGCCCCTAGATGGAGCCGAGGATCATAGGAATGAAATACTTATTTCCTATTTACCTCGCACTGTGCAGCTTTGCAGGACAAATGGCTCTGTATTATTTTTTTTTAAATACACCCCTAGAGTTTTTTCTTCAAGAAAGAACCAGGGTAAATTCCTAAATTTGACTTGGTGTCAGTTACTTGGGTCACTAATTGAACTACTAACCAAGCAGAGACTTTTCACTGTGCGTCAATTAGCTGTAATATAAATGTGAGCAGTGTCCATTGCTTGACAGTGGGGGGCCCCCAGAACTCATTTGACTCCCCATCTAATATAATTGGGCCCCCTGTGCCACCGCACAGTGTGTAATAAATGGATAGATGAAAGTGACACTAAACTCAGGAGTTAAATCTTAAAAATGCATTCAAGTACCTTAACTAGTAACATAAATGTATCTTATTTGTGTATCACCCGGCTTTAGATTCTCAAATCATCTCTGAATTGGTGCTATTATGAATGAATGGGAGTGATCTGCATCACCTCCTGTTCATTCATGATTGTGGTTATAGTAAACATACTATGTCCTCAAGTTATGAATGAACAGGAACACTCAGTATAGAGGATTCTTGTTCATTGATAACAGGGGATACAGAAAAAGAGATTTAGGGCTCTGTGCCCTCAATCTCTTTTTCTATTTTAAAAGGTAAATATCAGAGGTCTGTTTAGACCTTCAATATTTCCGCAAAGCCCCTTAAAGTAAAATAAAAATATTTAATAAAAAAATGAATGAATAACTAAAAATAAGTATTAGAAAATTTAAAAAGTTTATAAAAAA